TCTTTTCCGATGTACGGATATGACTGACCACACTCCAGAGCTCCTCATCCACCCCCCGCTTTCCTGCATCCATGGGTATTCCGCGGTGTTTGGTCGTGGCTGTGGCAGCCGCTTTCTCCTTTCCGGGAACCCGGACAGCTTGCCGCCACAATATATTCTGGCGAAGACTGAAATGAGGAATGCAGAATGCGGCCCAATATCCCGCGATGCCTGTCACAGAGAACAGATGGTCGTTGCGAAGTTGCCGGTTCGTGCTCAGCGGAGCTGCTCAAAACGTGGCACCCTCCCTTGCAGGTCGCACGAGTTCTGGTTCAGCGGAATTGCCCACTCGCATGGCATTTTTTCCTCGCCTTACGGCATGATGCTTGCTGCGGTGGTCCAGTACCGGCCGGCTTTCTGTATCACTACCGAGCCGGTCAGTGAGCGTTCAGGTGCGAAGAGAGGTCACATCAGCAAGCGCCCAGTACGGAATACTGATCTCACCTTGCCTCTTGGTGAATCCTCCGCCGGTCGGTCCCCTGACTTGACCCGATCCGATCGCAATTGCGACGCACGCCCACAGCAGCAAGTCAGACAAAGTTGCAGTTACAACGGACAGCCATCGGTAACAGCCGAGTGGGCATGACCCGGACGAGAGTGGGGCGAGGTTGTGCTCTCGTCTCGCCTCGTCGAGGAAAAGAGAGTGGGAAAAGTTTAAATCCTGGTGTAACAAGACCCGCTCACCCGCCCAGCACCCCAGGCGCGAAGGAACCAAGCAACTGCTCGCGACGCCACATCCGACCATGGACAACTCGGTACGGTGTTCTTGGGCATGGGTCACGAAACCCACGCATTGCGGCGCTGGTGAGCCTGTGATGAGTCGCGTCTTGCACATTTGGCTTCTGCCGGCCGGGTTTGTTGTGGCTGGGGTGTCGCCGTCATGTCCTTTTTGGCCTGAGATGCTGATGGGGGTTTTCAATTTTCACAATGTAGAAATGGTGAAATTCTGATTTAGATCTGTGCGGAGTGAAAATACGAGTGCACCTTCCGTGAATCGCGCTGGAAATGCATCTTTTCCCAGCGGCTACGGCAGTCGCGACGGAGGATGTCGACCGCCGTACGCCGTCACCCGATGCCGAATCCGTTTTTAGCAACAGCAATGGCCGGGGCCTCCTGGCCCTTCCCCCTCTTTCTCTTCCCCAACCCGGAGGGCAATTTAAAATTTCGTGGCCTCGCACACTCTGGATGCGTCTCATCGCAGGACATGTATGTACATACCTAACTAACGTTAACTGAAGAACAAGTCCGAGCCTAGGAATCCGATGCAAGGTTTGAAAGGACGCCCGCAAATGTGCTACCGGGGAAAAGAAGTAGTGTAAACAAGGACAACAGAGGAAGGAAAGGCAAGAAAAGTCAACCCGGCCGAAATGCAGATGCGCCGTGAAGTGGACCGGCCGTTTTCTGATCTATCACATCGGAGCCTCAACTCGATCCGGCGACTTTGGCGGCACAGTCCAAGATATCGAAATCACGCGGAGCACGGAGGTTCCCTCTCAGAATAACGTTATGCGGCTGCATTTCTGCGCCTGTGACGCCTCGACATGCACGATACAGCGAGAAACATGCTGTTGAACGTGCTACTACTTCGTTGCATGTATGTACACCAATATCCCAAAAGGTGGACAAGTCGAGGAGCGTGCTGACCGAGAGGCCCTTGTCCCTTGGTCCCGCTCCTGTCGTCCAATCACGACGTGGCCGGGTCGGCCGTGCAAGTGCTGGCCATGCAGGACGCAGCAAGCACCTCGACGACGGGGTTCCCACACATCGTCTCGATGCTGGTCGCCAAGGCCGTGGGAACAGAACGGATGATGGTATCAACAGCCCCCTCCTCTCGAATTCCTCGCGATCGCCTTCACTCAGTGTGGATGTCAACAGACAGACGGCCGCTCTGCCCCCACTTCCCCCATCACCCACGGGGCCCGTGTTCGCGCATCTTTGTGGCTGCCGTGCTCCCACACCCCCAGCGAAGTGGCAGGTCGATTCGAACCTTTTTTTAAGGCCGACGCCGATTTGTGGACTTTGTCTCGCTGCGTGCCCACCTTACATTTCGTTTGCCCCTGGCTGGGGTGTCTTTAACGTGAGCCTCCCTCTTGAAGCCATGGCGCAACCAGGCACCAAGTTCCCATTTGGGAATTTCATCGAACCGCGCCGTTTCGGTCCCTTTGTTTCCTGGCTGACCTGGTGCGCGTGAGAGAAAGAAATGATGGAGCGCGTCTTCATGGTGCATCAGTTCGCCGGATCGAACAGCATCTCCCGGGAAGGACCCCGAAGCTCTCCCCCACTTATCAAAGTGGAATTTCTGGTCAACTGCGTCGTTGCGAGGGCCTCACGGAATGGATCCCAGCAGCATAACATTCAATGTGAGAGAGGAGGGGACAAGAAACAAACCAACAGGAAAGTTGCAGCCACAACTTAGCTCCTACCCAGCTCCCTGGGACGGACCAACAGCCACGTCGTAGCAGCGTTCATCGCTGGATTTGACTTCAACAACAACGTCCCGATGCAACGCCTGACCTGTCACTTCACTCCCTCCGACCCGAGCACTCCTTTGATCGCGACGGCCCGATGTGTCAAGAAATGTGTCTACGCAAAACGAAGCCGGGCAAACCCTCGTTCTCTCCTCATTGACTCCTCATTTAACGACCATTATTCCGCCGATCGGTTGTACGTCCTTCCTGCTTGAGATGGGCAGAAGGTCGCGCGCCCGCGTGCGCCCGCGGAGCAAGACTGACTTTCGACTTTGCCTCGGTCCACCGCGGCACCACACCCCCAACTTTTCCCCAGCTTCCCTTTTCTGCAGCGACGAGGGGCTCACTCACCGTCACCACTTTTCCAGAACCGGATTCCAAAGGGCGGCGATTTGAGGCGCAAGACACCAGCGTGGCGGTTTTGTTTCGGAATGGGTTGCCAATTACAAGATTACTAGGCCAAGGAGGTGTTCTCAACGGCCGTTGAGCCCATCTATAACAAGTCTGATATTGCCATTTTCGCGGGTACTGTGGTACTTTGCAGGATTGGATTCGTCCGGTGGTTAAGCGGCGCGTACAGGGGTTGGTGGGTTGCGCACATCCCATTCTCGGTCTCGGCTGGCCGAGCTTTTTTGGTGGGTTCAGTCCACCAGGTTCGGCTTTCTCAACCCTGGTCCGAAGCACTTTTGCAATTTCTCGTCGAACCGACTTCGCGACAGCGGCCAGCAAACGCTAAACGCCCCCAGTGCCTGAACTCACACCCCGAGCCCACCCCCGGTCTGTTCACGGGGCTTCTTTTTCATCGGCGCGTTTATCACCCAACGGTCTTCTAGAAATTTGCGGGTCGCTGGCTCCCCTGAGTCCCCTCAAGAGAGACGCTCGGAGGATTCTGGGGCTAATCAGATGCCCCTGTTCGCTCGGCCGAACAGGGAGGTCAAGCCGGGACGCCCTGCTGCCTGAACCAGGATTGGACGGAGGAGGGGCCGAGGGCGGACGTGCCGTCTTGCCCGTCGCCGCCCCTCCCTCACTTCTGCTTTCGTGCCCCCCTTCGGCCTTTGCAGCCTTTGGCTCATTGAGGTCCTCTGGCGCTTCTCACTGGTCGTTGAGTTCGGCGTGCCCCCCCTTTTCTCCCACGCCCCATCTGGAACCTCAATCCCCACTTTCTGCTTGTCATGGTCCTCTGTTCTCACAGCTCCACGGGCCATTCCTCATCAAGCTCGCGCACTGATACTCCGAAGGCCCTGCTGCTGCTGCTGGTTGCTCGTGGTTGCTTCCCGCTCGGCAGAGGAGGGCGTCGGTAGCATAACGGGACGATGCCATGCGCTGGGCTGGCTTGTCTAGCAGGCTAGTTGGTAACTGTGCCTGTGTAGTTTCTGTCCGGTACGCAGTTTGACGAGTCTCGAGACTTTGTTCCTTGGGCGGACGAGCTCTTCAAGACACAAGGTCAATTCGAATGTTTACAGGGCTACACTACGGTGGACAGATTATCCACAACCATTCACCATTACCCGTGGATGGAGTGGGCCACTGTCTGGCGACGCCCCCGGAGGCTGGCCGAGTTGGGCTAGCGGGCGGATTTTCCGGGGCGATTTTTGATCGAAATGAAGGGATTGTTCTCCTGCGGCGTCGTCTTGTTTCCTTGTTTCTCTGGTCGGCCTGGGGGGAGAAACGAACATCCAAAGCAGCACCCAGCGAACTGCGCACCCCTAGCAAGGAAAAGGTGGAAATGCGAACAGGTGTGGGGAACCAAAGGCCCTGGTTCATGGGTGACCTGATATCGTACCCCATCTTGACGAGCAAGGGCCTCGGGAAAGTCTGCCAGATCGCCCCCCCGTTTCTCAACCTCCTTCCCTGTCTGGTTGGGACGTTTCTGCGGGCCCTGCGTGCGCCGTGCTGTGGTGAAGATTCCCCCCCTCGGAGCACACCCATGCGAGCCATGGGTTCCCGTGAGGGTACCGGGTACCCTTGATCTCGCCTCTGGCTGCCCTTGCCGCACCCCCCTCCCCCCCTCCCCTCCAAGGTGCCACTGTGCCAGTGCCGAAGCGCCCCCATAAAACGGTCCAGTCCAGTGCCTCGATGGTATTGGCTTATAGACATACAAGTACAAACACACGCCCAGCAACCTGGTTGCGAGCCTGTGGTTCGTCCTTTTGCTATCACTTCACCTTTTGCTTCGACATACCAACGCCAATCCATTCCCGGTCTTGTGGTTTTTGGCCGGCGAGCCCTGAACCCTCTCCGTGGACATACGCTTGAGGATTCTATCGGGCTAACTTACCTACTAACGGTCCTCGGCTTTTTCCGAGGATCCTCCTCATCGTCGACTTCTCTCGGACAGAGAGTATCAGAAGGGAAGAGGAAGAGGGCGTGAGAGAGCGACGGAGTGAGGTTTACTTTCGTGGGCAACGGAAACAGTCAGAAACTGACTGCCCGGGAAGAGAGAGACAAGACAACAGGGCACGTTTTCCCATGTCAGCCACCGCGACTTACACGATGGCAGAGTTGAGGGCTGAGCCGCAACACGGTAATATGTGGCCCAACTATGGAAATCCGGCAGTCCAGATGGCCGGCCGGTTTAACCCGCAAGACCCGTCGGGATCAGTCCCACCACCGGCCGCGCCGTCGCATCTGGTGCGTCCCAGGAGCCACACGATGGACTACCCACCACCGTACCAGCCAGGACGGCCCGGGCCCGAGGAGGGCGACTCGTACGACCGATACGCGCAGCCGCACCCGCAGCAGCAGCACCCCCACCCGTCGATGAGCATTCCCAGCATCAACAGCCTCAAGCGGCCGTACTCGCAGGTCGACCAAGCACCGTACACGGAGATGGTGCAGGACCTGCGGGACGACTACAAGCCCCCAAACCACGACCAGAAGCTGCTGTCATTCAAGAAGGTGGGCGATAAGCACACCATCGTGGACGGCAAGGGGCGCATGCACGAGATGGAAATCGACGCGCAGCTGCACGGCATGTTCTTCCTGTCCGAGTTCCCGACGACCCCAGGCGACGGCAACGTGCTCAACGCCGAGTTGACATGCTACCGGCGCAACCTGTTCCAGATCAGCGGCAGCCTGTGCTTCCCGCAGATCCCGTTGTCGGTGCTGCTCGATTCGGGCGAGACGAGCCAGATCAAGAACATGGAGGTCAGCATCTCGGCCATTGAGTCGGTCGACGGACACCCCGTGCGCCTGATTGTGATCCCGTGGAAGACCCCGCCGCCGAACTCGCCCGAGGCGAACCAGGCGCCGGACCAGGAGCCGCCGACGCTGCCGCTGATTCCGCCGTCGGATGAGGAGGAGGAGACGGGAGGTGACCACTATGCGATTTATCCCATTGGGTGGCGCCGGTTGCAGTTCAGGATGTGAGTTTTTTTTTTTTCTTTTTTTCCGTTCTTTTTTCCCCCTTGTTACGGTTGTGAGTGCAAGCAGCTAACGCTAGATACAGAGCAACGGCAAACAACGGCAGGAGAAAGGAACTGCAGCAACACTTTGTCCTGCACCTGAAGCTACACGGGACACTAGCCAACGGACAGAAGTTGGTACTCTCGGAGATGACCACGGCGCCCATCGTGGTGCGCGGACGGAGTCCCCGCAACTTCCAGGCGCGCAAGGAGATTCCCCTGCTCGGGTCGAGCGCCGGGTCGCGCGGCCAGACACTAGTCGAAACCGGCCATGGCATCGTCGCGCAGGCCGTGATCCTCAACAAGCCTCCATACGACTCGCGCCCGCGCCTGTCGAGCCTGGACGTGCCGCGCTCGGCTTTTACGTTTACCGCGGCGAAGCAGATTCCGCAGAGCCCGATGCAGCAGATGCGGTCCAAGTAAGTTTTTTTGTTTTGTTTTGTTTCTTTTTTCCTTGGAAACGACAGCTAACAAACCCAGCTCATACCCCACAACATGGAACCCGCCATCACAGGTCTCGATGCCGCATGCCCCCGCATCCGCCACGTACCCATCCTCCTCGATGGCCTCCGACCCATACCCGAAGATGCCCCTCTCGGGCGCCGCAGGCTTCACGGCCGAGCCGCAAGAGATGCCCATGCAGCCAACGTCGATGGGCCCCTCGGTGCCTCTCCCGCTCTCAGCCTCGCACGACCCGCACCAGCAACACCACGCGCACCACCACGCCCATCAACAACCACCGCCTCAGCCCCCGCTCCGCACCCAGTTCAACAGCTACACCTCCGGCCCGCCGCACCACCTCTCGCTCTCTTCCACCACAAACGCCACCTCCCCCGACAACTCGCTCGCCGTGCCCCGCTACATCGGCGACACCAACCCGCGCCCGTCCAAATCCCCGCGCCACGCGAGCCACCAGTCCGTGACCTCGGCCCTCACCAACGAGACCGCCTCGGGCGAGTACCGCTATGGGCCCGCACCCACGCACCAGACCGCGCCCACCAGCTACCCCGCGCCCGACTCCCACAGCCCACAGAACGCACACCACCCGGCTCTCCCTCCACCGCCTACCCAGGGCGCTGGGTCTACCGGCCAATCGCAGGGACAGCCACAACAGCAAGCACCAGGTGGCCCCTACAGCCACGATACTGGGGCGCCACAAGCGCCTGGAGCAGGACCCGCCGGTCCATCTGCTGCTTCTGCTTCGCAACAACAGCAGCAGCAGCAGCAACACTCGGCCCCGCCAAGGGATTACTACCCCGGCTCGCAGGCCTGGACCACCACAGCCGGCGCGCCCAGCGCCGGCAGCGGTGCCGAGGGTCCCGTTGGTGGAGCCGACCGGCCGTACGGATACCCGGCCGCGACGGGCGGTGCAGCTGGCGGTTCGCACCACGGTGGTCATGGGCACGCTGGGTTGAAGGCGGAGCCTCACAGTGCGCATGCAGCTGCAGGGCCGGCGGGAGCAGGGCCTCAGGGAGGATATGCTTATGCTTGGAATGCGGCGTAAAAAGGGTCATTAACTCGAAACGGGCCGGTGGCTAGGAAGGGGAAGACACGGAAGGAAAAGGAATACCCTGGAGCATGGGCACACGGGACCACGAGACCGACCAGCAACAGAACAAGGCAACAAACAGCACGGTAATATTCGGATTGTGTATATTGGGCGGTGGAACAACCAACCTGCTGTGTATTTTTGGAAGGGGGATGGGAAAACAACAGTTGGCTTTTTCTGTGTTTCCGAGTCTTTTGTTTCTTGTTCTTGTCCTGTTCCTGTTTTCTATTTCCTCTTTGCTCGCACGCACTCAACGTTATGTCTTCACTTCTGGTTTTGGATGAACTTTTTACCGTTACCGTTTCTTTTTGTTTTTTACTTCTTACCGGGGACACAGCAGCAGGCCGTCGCGTTGTTGGGTTGCGGTGATTGGCTGGTTGATTGGCTTGATTGACTGATTGATTGATTGATACCACACGTCTTTTCTCATTTTTCTCATTTTTTTCTTTTCTGTCTCCATGTTGTTTTATGTATCTCACGTTCTTATGTTTATGCTACGTTATCCCCCCCTCCTTGCCGTCTCCGCACTTTTTTCCTTGCTTTTTTGACATGTTTGTTCTCTCTTGGGGACGGCAGATATTGTTGTTACTGTTTACATTTACAGTTTGTTGACGAGTTGATGAGTGAGAATGTGGATTTTCTCCTACGCGAGTTACTTTACATAGTTCCTTAGTTACCCCTGTGTTTTGTTCCGTTATCTGCTTGTCTTGCCTCTGTTACTCGGGGTTCCTTGATTTCTCGCTCGCTCGTTATAGCACTTTCGTTTTACTAGTACATGTACATACATGGTATGGTGATCAGGGGAGAAGGAAACTGTGGTGTGGGTGTAATGATTAGGGGAAAGGCAACCGGGAATTGTATTCAATTTGTTTGTTTGTCAGCATCGTTTCACAACTCTGGGAGGGTGAGAGAGGAAGTGCATATAACAATCAATGCGTTGTGCGTTGCTTGTTGAGGGGGAGGTTTTGTACATATTGGATTTGCTGGTCGTTGCAGACAGGCGGGCAAGGGTATAATCCGTGTATTGCTGAAATCATTTTTCCCCCTGTTCACATTAGTTATGCCAAGTTCAGATTATGTCATGCCCTATGCAAACTGTTCAAAAAGATTTAAAAGGTAAGAAAAGCACCTCGGGCAAATTCGAATGCAGTGTGGGAGAGTTACGCCGACGCGAGTGTTTCATGATCTTTTCAGTTTGTTTCGTTTGAACCGCTCTGGTGGGCGGGACGGTTTTTTTTTTGACTGGGGTGCGTGCTGTGGTGTGTGGGGGAGGGGGTGAAAGGGAGGGTTTCATCAAAAGCAAAAACACACTTGTTCCCCGGATCTTTTTGAGAAGGGGTTCTATTTTTGGCTTTCCGGGCTGGGTGTGTGTTTCGGTGTTTATTTCTTTTGGCTTGATGGGTGGTGAATCGAATCGAGTCATTGCATGATTGAGAGAACGGAGGTCTGTTTTATGTTAACTACAGTCCTGTGTAGGTCTCTCCCGGTCAATTTCATTTGACGATGTATGTCTGCCTGCGCCGGGCTATTGAGTCCCGAGGGATATCCCCTCCTTCCTTGTACATAGCAAACGGGAAATTTTCCTACAATGCAAACGAAGCCCGGAGGCTTGACCCGGGACGTGTACACTATTAGTGTCTGTCACATACCCCCGTATTACGGTCTGTATTACAGGTTTGATAACATGGGCGCTACCCGGTCCTGAGTGTTGGTTTTATTGTTATTGTCCAGCATCTTCAGAGGCATGAACCGGGTCCCAGGATGCGGCTTCCTTGGCTGTTTTTATGTATGTCCTCGTGCAGCTCAATGCATTGTACTACGTATGTACGTCGAGTCTCGGGATGTCTTCAGCGTGCAATGCAGGCGAGGGGACTTGAGAGAGAGGGTTAGGGTTAGTTTATGTGCAGAGCCTGCAGCACCAGCATCTGCCGGCAGCTGCCGAAAAACATCACTGCTTGTCATCTCACTCACTCATCACTCTGACGCTCAACACCATTGAACTTTTCCAATAAGTCCTTCATTCCATCACGAATTGAACCATTACTAAATCCCCTTCATTAAACCATCACCCACCTACCATGTTTGAGCTCCCAGACGCAAAACGGTACGTTGAACCTGATCTACTCACGATTGAGAAGAGACGAAAACGACCAAAAAAAAAGTAAAAATCGCACAGCGCACACTAACAACCCCCAGCGTCCGCCGAGAAGACCTCTACGACTCAACCTCGGACCGCTCCGCCAGCCCCGGCCCCGAGGATGAAGAGACGGCTGAGCTCCTCCGGGCCAAGCTCAATGCGCGTCTGTCTGGTCTGCTCGCTATCGACCTCCCACCGTCACCTAGGAAATCTCCTGCGAAAGTGCCAGCAGCAGCGGCGCCAGTGAAACCAGTGAAACCAGTGAAACCAGCTGTTCGCAGACACTCAGAAACGTCCGACAGCGAAGACAGCGAGGATGGTGATGAAACCCCTTCACCACCATCACCCGCGCAAGTAGAAGCGGAAGCAACGGAAGAAGAAGAAAAAGAACCCCCAGCCTTCGCCTTCCGGCTCTTCGCCACCCCCCCAACTACCTCCACCAACGGAACAACCACCACCAACGCCCCCCAACCCCAAGTCATCCTCCTCCCCTCAGACGACGACATAGACGGCCACGGTCCAAAATACACCGGCCCCGCGCTCTCACAGCGTCCACTGTCACACTACCTCCGCGGGGAACTATCCCCCGAAGCACAGGCACAGTTCCGTCAGGCGGCGGTGGAAGGGTGGGAGGTAATTGAGGGAGCGGGGAGACGAGCGTGGGGGTTGGAGGTGCCGTGGCGGGTTGTTAGGGTTTTGGGGGGGACAGCTAAAACTATTTCCGGGAGCGGTGGTGGTGGTGGTGAGAAAGGAAGTACGGAAGAGGGAACGGAAAAGAAGAAGACCCGACCAGGGAAAAAGAGGAGAGTGGTGCTGCGGAAGCGGGAGAAGGCGCGGAAGGAGAAGGAGACGGAGGTGGAATTGAAGAAGGCGAGTAAGGAGGAGCATTTGAGGGAGAAGAAGAAGCGGTTGAATCGGGAGAAGAAGTTGAAGAGACGGCAGAAGGAGAGGGAGAAGAAGATGGCTGTGAGGGGGGAGGGGGGGGAGGGGCCAGAGGGGGGTGGTAGTGAGGGGAGTGATGGGAGTGATGGGGAGTAGACACTATGTAGAATAGGAGAGAGTTGTCGTGTGGTTGTGAGTTGTGTACTATACCACAGTCGACAACCCTGGGCGTAACCCTGGGCGTAACCCTGGGCGTAACCCTGGCCATGACACTCGCCATAACTCTGTCATCTGGGATGATGTAATACCTGTTGAGTCAGTCTAACGGGCCGTTAAAAGAAGTTACTACGTAAAACCAAGTGACTGCGAATCTCTCTTGCTCAATAAAATTCTACTCATGCATCCCACAATCACTTCGTCGTCGACCTGCCAGTTTCCGAAGCGATCGAAGTGGTCCGTGACCAGGGTTAGGGTTAAACGGCCTCCTTATCGCTGATCTCCAATTCCATTCCGACGTGCAACCCTCCATCCCGAATTGTCGGCCCATTGCCGCCAAGCAACTTCGAGCTCCCCACCAACATGAACGCGCTGTGGTTGTCGCGTGCGCCGGCCGATGGCACCGCCACGGGCGATAAGCCATCGGCTGACAGCCAGAAAGAAGAGCCGGCGATTGTTACGAGCGAGAATACCGATAACGACCCCGCGGGCGCTTCAGCATCGGCCGATGAGAGCACGACCGACGCCCAACGCGACGCCCAAGATGGATCTCTAGAGGAAACTCGGGAGGAAACTCAAGGGGAAGCTCAAGACGAGAGTGGAGGGCAAGGACAAGGACAAGAAACACAGGAATCCACGCAACACCCAAAGCGACCAGCCCTCCAGCGAAACCGCCTCTCGGTCCCCCCTCCTCCAGTCCCCAACGCCCCTCTCGACTCCGAAACCGACACCAACACCAACACCAACACCAACACCGGCAGTCCTCCCCTCCCCGATTCCGTCCTCGTCTCAAGCTCCGGGCCACAACATCCCCCGCAAGGCCCTCCTCCAATCCCACCTCAACAACCCAGTACCCAACAACAACAGCTCAATACCCAACAGCCACAACAGCAGCAACAGCAACAACAAGATCCCCCCCCGCAAGACTCCCTCTCCCTAGCCCAACTCCGCCGCATCGTCGCCGACATCCCGCGCGCCGAGCCCATCGCCTACGACTACGCTTACACCGACACAGCACCCACCGAAGAAGAGATCGACGAGTGGTTCATGTACAATTTCTGGCAGTGGGTGCGGTTGAACGCGGCCAACCGGGCGTTTCATGCTGCTTGGGGGCGGATGTTTCCTCCTTCGTCTTCTGCCACTGCGAATACCAACGGCGAGGCGGAGTGGGATGGTACTCCCGATGAAAAGGACCAAGAAACAATCGCCCAAAAAAGAAAAGACTTCGTCACCGGTCTGCTCGACGGTGTGCGAGGCAGCGACAGGATAGTGCGGGCCGAGGCCGTGGGGGCACTGGTGTATCTTGTGCTGGGGCGGTGGACGGAGACGGTAAGGGCGGCGGGGGTGTTGGATGCGGAGGTTTTGGAGGGGAGGGCCAAGACGGCGGCGACGGGGGAGCAGTTGCGGGCGATGAGGGAGGGGGTGGTGATTGTGGCGGGCTGTGGGGGTTTGGAGGTTGTGTGGGAGGTGTTGAGGGGGGTTTTTGAGTTGTTTTGGTGAGTTTTTCTTTTCTCTTTTTTTTTTTCTCGTTTTTTGTCTCTGGATATTCGTCCTTGGGATTGCTTGTGTTGGGGAGAGACGGAAGGCTAACCGGTTAGGGGTGATGAACTGCCGCAAAACGTGCAAATGGTGGCCGAGGAGCTGATCCATCTCATGACCATCATGTACATGGCCATCCAGGTGGCACTCGATGGCCCCGAAGAGTTTGCCGATGTCAAGCAGCGGTTGTGTAAGTCTCTCTTTTTGGGGGGGTCTTCTTTTGTGCGTCTAGGCTGACTGGCCAGTAAACCTTAAACCCGGCCTCGTCAGCTTCATGTTCCATGTCATGATGAAGCTGCGCTGGGACGAGAACACTGTCCTACCTCACACCCAGGTATGTTTCCGCCTCTTTATTTTTCGATATTAAATGCTAAGATAGGTTTAGATCTTCCTCTTGTTCTGGAAATCGATCCTGCTGGTGTTCGGCGGCTCGCGAGAGATTGCCCAAGTCAAAGCAGCCACCAGCGAGCAGACAGGCTGCGACGACAAGGACACCATCACGGCGTCCCCCCTCGACTACCACACCTTCCGCCAGGAGATCACGTCCAAGTACCCAGCCTACATCCCGCCCCAGCCGCTGCTCCCCCTCGAGCCCGACCAAAACACCATCATCCCGCAGCCCAACCACCCCCCGCGCAACAGCAGCGCCAACGGCATCCACGCCGGCCCGACCGGTCCCGGCGGCGGTGCTTCCATCCTGCACCAACCCGTGCACATCGCCACGCCGGCCCCCTCGCCGCCCCCCAGCCCGGCCGTCGGCGGGAAAGGTGGGAAGAAACAAAACTACCAAACCAACCAAAACTTCCCCTTCATGTACCCGCCCCTCGACGCCACCAGCAACAGCGCAGGCGGCAAAGGCGGTGCGGGACTCCAAGACCTGCTGGTGGGCCGCAAGTGGGAAGGCAGCGATGTGCCCGCGTCCATCCTCGAGGCCGGCGAACTGTTCTCCAAGCGTGTGCGCATGAGCCGTGCCACGCGACAACTGTGGGACGAACGCGAGGAGTTTCTCCGATTCGAGCGGGGCTACGACGACGATAACGACGACGACCTGATCGACGAACTCGACCTCTCGGAGCTGACACTCGAAGAAAAGGAGGAGCTGGGGTTGACCAAGGGTGGTAAGTCCAGCGCTAGGTCTGCTGCGGCTTCTGATAACCACCCACTACCGAAACCCCCGGCCTCCGGAAAGGACTATGGCCCGCGAGACGCCGACATCGACCCGGAGGTGAAAACCCGGCTGGACGCCGTCGAGGCTTTCTACCAAGAAGCCCTGCCCCAGCTGCAGTCGCTCGTCATCGTCCTTCTCAAACAAATCACCCTCATGACTAGCAACCTCGTCTCCCCGCAAACTGCCAACGGCCCGCCTAGTGCTCGGCCCCTCGGCGGTGGTCCGCAGGGTCAGCAGGGTCAACAAAACCAGCAAGGCCAACAGGGTCTGCCGTCCAACGGGCTGAATGGTGTACCCGGTGGGAAGAACGGAGGCGACCCGAACTCGCCGCTGGACGGGGACGTTGACGAGTTGCGGAGCCGTGAGATTGCTGCGAAAGCGGTCACGGGGACGCTGATTCTGCTGCTTAAGTGGTTGAAGCTGTCGCATGTGCTCAAGTTTGAATATGTGACGCAGCTGCTGTTGGATCTTAATTATCTCCCTATGGCGCTGAAGATCTTTGCTATGTATGATGTGCAGCAGGTTGTCGAGAGTCGGACGGATCGGTTGGAGCATAGGTATTTTCTTTTCTTCCCCCCCTTTTCTCCCTTTTTTTTTTGGTTTTTCTGATTTTCTCTTGTCTTATAAAATGACAACTAACACAAACAGCTTCTTCTACTTCTGCGGCTCCCGCGCTGGCGCGATCCCCCCACAGCACGCCGTTCCCAATCCAACCGCCACCGAGTTCGAAGAAGACGTCAGCGACGACGACGACGACGCCGACGACGCCCTGCCACCTCCCATCAAACGCCGGCGCTCCCCCCCTTCCGACTCCCTCGCAGCCGCAGCAGCCGCCCTAGGCGACAACAACAACAACAACAACAACAACAACAACAACAACAACAACAACAACAACGA